AGCTTGTTCTATCAGCATCCAAATAATTTCTCTTCAGGCAGAGACATCTTGCCTTTATTCTTCCATATGGGAATTTACTGCACAGCACACATGGAGATTCCTATCAGTCATCATGTGCTCTTGGGTATGGGTGTTCCACATTGACTGCCTGGGCAAACTCTTCATCATCTCAGAACTTTCTACATAGTTTGCTGTTAAAAATGTTTTAAAATATAATAGCTTGCTGTTAAATATGGTTTTAAATATAATGTACAGAATCTTATTCATCTAGTAAAGATTTTGTTTGTTTTAATAAATGACAGTTTCTTTTTAGAATATTTGTCTACACAATAAGCTGACTTGCTCAGCACACATAACAGAGCCTGACTTTCCATGACATCACTGTTTTGCTGCTGTTCTAATCTCCATGCCTCTACCCCCAGTAACTTTAGATTTATTTTTTTTTTCAGATTGTTAGATATTTCTTTCCTGAATTTAGATTGTCGGTATCTTTTAGAGACTTCAAAGGCTCTGTGAGGGTATAGTCACATCTTATCAAAGAGGTCCAGCCTCTGAGAGGTTGTTTTCTTCCAGTGTATCCCACAGCTCAGATCTTTACACTTTTTGTATTCAGTCTTATATTGTCTCTGACAGAAGTTCAATAAAATTGTCTTTCTACCCACAATATCAGGGTTCTCAGCACTGCTGGAACTGAATGTTATAGACCTACAGTCTATCTTTGTGACAAACCTGAACTCCCTTGTCTGTCTCATTATATGGGAGGCCACTGGCAAAAGGTAGCAGTGTCTCTCCTATAAATTGATGCATAATTTCTACTGTTTCCAGCCAATAATTTATGTCATAATTCATTAAAGTTTCCTTTTTAAACAGTCAGATGGTTAGTTATCAAAAAAGGTGGAGCATTATTTTTGCTATTGCTCCCCTTGGCATTGCCTCTCTTGCTATAAATCTTTTTAAAGTTGTCATTTCACTACTTTTTCTCCTTATTCCTACATGTTATTATTTAAAATCTTCCCTGGTTTAGACACTTTTAAATTCTTAGCTTCAAGCACACGTCAAAATTATCACACATTTTAACAGTGTTGAAATGCAGCACCTTGGCTTCCCACAGCATCAAGCAGAGGCTGCAAACACTCTTTCAAGGCTTCACATGATTCTTTTGTTTCAAGCCTCATACAAGTTTCACTGTGTACAGCAGAGGGGCAGGAAATTTGAAAATGCAAAGGGCAAACTGATATTTACACACACACTTCGAGGATGCAGCAGTACACAGAGCTCATGTTTACTGAAGACAGTGCAACCAGGACATTTGATCCTATCTAGCCAAGAAACACCCCATCCTGCTTGCTTCCAGGATCCCTTCCATTATATTCCAATAATTTTTTAATGAATGGCAATTTTGTGGCTGTATGCAACGACTGAACTCAGTGATCTGGGAGGTAATTCTCAGTTCTAATATGCTATTTTTCATTCCTTATTTCCATCCTTCTTTTTAGATTTGAACATTGTCATTTTAATCTTTTCCCCACCCACTTACAATGCATTTTTCTTTTTAGTTTTACATTTGAAGACAAGGAGACATGAACAGAGGAAAGGAATCAGGAATAGTGAAGGGCTGAGACAGCATCATAAACTGAGAGGAACGTTGTGCACCAGGACTTGTGCTCTGGAGTGACACCGTAAGCCTTGTTTCCTGTTCCTCAGTCACCCACAGTGGGGCTATTTGAGTGAGTTTGTTGCAGTTTTAATACCCTCACACATTACTCTTGGGTTTGCTGCTTGTGGTATGTCTTTCACACACAGATTAAGTTGGTCTCTACAAAATTTATGTGAATACAAAGCTCAGGTTCCATAGTTGAGCCAAGAGTAACGACAAGGTAAGAGGCAGATGATGAAATGCCTTCCAGCCCATTGGTTACAGTGCTCTGAAAAGGGGTTACAACCCATCAAAAACTGACTAGAGCAACCGCTTCATCAGTAAGCCAAGGTAGAAATGTGAGGGCTCATCTGACTCTGCTGCAGTTTTAAGACTAATCATGTGAATAAGAAAAGATGTAATTCCCCAATTCTCTTTGAGTCTAAATTAGAAGAGGATCATTTATGAAAACATAAGATCCCTGCTTTGCTGCTGAAATAATGGTTTTATTCCTGACATGTATCAGCATGAGCTCAGACAAGTTGCTCAGGAAAAATTATTAAGAAAAAAAAGCTCCATTCAGCTCTGCTGGCTAAAATGGGTTTGTGTTTGTCCAGTGGGTTTATGGTTAAATAACAAGTTAAGGATAAACAACCTTCCTGAATGGCTGAAAACATCATCCATGTGCTCAGTGAGACATCCACCTTCAGCAAATGCTGGTTTGGAAGGCAATCTGCACAGATAAGAAAATTAATATATAGTGTTAGCAAGTACCACTGCAACGATGAAGAAATACAAAAACACTTAAAATCGTGCTTTACCCGTGAGGTAATTTTTTTCATCTCTAAAGGTTTTCACTTGAACACTATTAACTATTTAGCCTTAAGGAAAGTTCTTAAGAGGTATAAACCTTACTCGATGCTTTTTTTAAACATAATTGCAAAAACATTACTGGTTGTTTTGCATTAAGTGGGCCATTGCTAAAAAGCTTAGTTACATTCTAGCCTTTTCTGTAACCTGGGGAAGAGAGGAGAAAGGCAGCACTCTCAATTGCTGCATATTCATGCAAGGGTACAGGGAGGAATATTTGGAAGGAATGTTCTCTGAAATTGGCCTCTCTGCCTACCCTTTTTTATTTTGCAGTTCACTTCCCTTCCCTCCTTATTTGAGAGGGTAATGTGTTGAGACTATTCCTTAGCTGTTCCCAAATTCCTGCATTCCAAGTGTGTTCCTTAACAGTAATTAATGTGTATGTCTCCTCTCTCTCACACACACATATCCTTGTACCCCATGTTCCAACAATGCTGGCTCCTGCTTGCTCTAATTGCTTCAGAAATATGTTTTATCTAAATTTTCTGTAGTTTCCACATACACAGAAGGAAACCAAATGTGAAGACAATGAATCTGTGTACCTTTTCTCCTTTAAAGGTCAGATATCTTCTACTCTACAGATACAAAAAAAAAAATCATGTCTTGGTGACTAACCCACACTGTACATCTGCAGTGTTTTCCCCCTAAATCTAAACAATAAAAATAGAGTAAAGAAGGTTCTCCACTATTTATATTATGCAGTGAAAGTGCTCCTCATAGCATTAAATGATAGCCTTGCATGCTATTCACACACATTATCTGAAAGCTTATATACCTATTATATATATAAACCTAATGCCGACAGCCATAATAGTCTGCATGAATAGGGAACTTTGTGCTTACTGAACCACAGTCACGAAACTAAAAATGAAATCATAGTTCCTTCATCATAATACCAAAGGCGGTATATAATACTCTGAAAGAACCAGCACACAGTAATACCTGGCTTAATACTGGGTACCATACATTACTGTTCAATGCTATCAAAAAGCTGCATCTTCAGATTCTTTATTGAAATATATTACATTACTTAAATTGTCATGACAAAGACAAAGGTGTTCAATTTTAGATTTTTCTGGCACCTCAGTTTTTATGAAATTGCATATTTTTTCCCTAATAGAAGTATAATTTATTTGCTGATTAAATTCCAATAAGGGAGTCCTGATTTTTTTTGTAAAAAAATACATTTGGGAACGCAAGTTCTAAGCGCTGACAGGTACGTTCTCCTTTGTTTCCACTCACAACCTGGACTAGAAGACTGGGATTTGACTGTTTTGTTTTTCCAACTATTTCATCACGAAACACTAAATAAATAATGTTCAGCATAACTAATGTGCCTCCATATAATGCTAACTCTGCACGATTCCATATAAGTGAATTTAATATGAATTGTGGTAAAATTGCAAGTGTATCTCATCCACTGCTCAATTTTAGCAATTTATTTTTTTTCAAAGCATGATCGTTAATGGACAATTTAAGTGAGCTATTTAAAGTTAACTCTCCAATACTTACAGGCAGATCATCCAAAGTGTGCATTAACCATAACCAGACACAGAAATGGCCAGTGGGGTCACACAGAGACCATAACTGCAAAGATCAGGCCATTTGACTCTTGAGTTCGCATCAGATTGTAGAGATGATACACTTGTGTCTACACCAGCCCCTAAGTCATTCCTGATAGCTGGCGCTATTTTTGCAGATCTGGCTTCTGGGACTCACTTTCATGAAACCTCTGCTTGCATTGGGAACTCCGATGTTAGATTTTATATCGATGTGATGAGTCATGAGCCCTCCACCAGAGCTCCGGTCTTCGGTACCGTCCCCCAGGCGGGCTTAAATTCAGTGTCTCAGGTTTGGCCTTAACTAACAGGTTTTCACAGAATCACAGAATCATTCAGGTTGGGAAAACCTCTGAGTTTGAACACCACCTTGTCAACTAGGCCGTGGCACTCAGTGCCATTTCCAGTCTTTCCCTAAACACCTTCAGGGATGGCGACTCCACCACCTCCCTGGCTGCCCATTCCAACGCTTGACACCGGCCCCTGGCCCTGCATGCTCGGCACGGTCACCTCAAACCTCCACAGGATCCCAGAATCCCACAATGAGTCAGGCTGGGAGAGACCACAGTGGGTCACCTGGCACAGGGTTTATCATGTGATTATAAGTCACACAGGATTGTGCCCGGACAGCTCTGGAATATCCCCAGCGTGGGAGACTCCACACCCTCTCCGTGAGGGGCTGCGGGGGCTGTGTGGGCGCGGACGGCACCGTGGGGTGCTGGTGTGAGGCAAGGTGTGCTATCTCTCTTGGGAAAGGGCGATGGAGCTGAGCCTGTTCGGCCTCGAGAAGAGACATATCGGTGAGGTCCCTTTTCAGTCGCCTCTTCTCGAGGCCGAACAAGCAGCCCCTCACAGCCCACCCCCTCAGCCCCGCACCGGCCCCGCCGCTCCCTCTCCGCCCTCCGCCGGGGCTTCCGCCCAGGGCGCGGGGCAGGGCGGGGACAGCGATAAGATGGCGGCTCCCTTGGCCAGGCCGGCGGGGTTTGTGCTGAGGGACTTGGCCCTGCGATCCGCCCGCCTGCGGGGCGGCTTCCCGGTGAGTGAGACCGGCCCCGGCCGCCGCAGCCTCCGCTCCGCAGCCCGTCCCCGCACCGCCCGTCCCGGCTTCCCCGCTCGCAGCCTCCGCTCTCCACGCCCGTGTTCTGGCAGCGGGAAGGACCCTTCGCCTCCCGCCGTGGCGGAGCTGGGGCTGCTGATGCCCGGGCTGGATGGAGGACGCGTCCAGCCTGGGGAGCCCTGAGGGATCGGGGCGAGGCTGCGGCTGAGGCGCCGGGTCAGGGCTGGGCGGCTCAAAAGCGTGACCTGCGGCGCCAGCTCTGAGCGCCTCCTGCCCCTGCAGCTCTCACTGCTCCTGGTTATTTCATTAACACAACTGCGTGAAATGAAGTGAAGCAATGCCGATTATCCAGACACGTTTCAGCTGGCAGCATCGGTTTGGCTCTGGCTCTGCGCGGGTGGCTGGGGTCAGGCTGGGGTGAGTGATGCCCACCGGGAAGGTCGGTCACAGCTCAGGATTCCTGGTGGCCTTGGACCTCAGACCTGTGCTGGGAAAGAGTGAAAGGGCCTCCTGGAAGGGCTCCTGCTCAGGAGCTCTCCCGAGGTGTAGCAGGAGTTCATTATTCACCTCAAGAGTAGGCAGCTCTGGTGCCTTTGGCAACCAGCTTCTTTAGTTTGTATTTTTATCAGCAGCAGCTGCATGGGAACTGCTTTGGCCCACGTTTCCGAGCAGAAGTATTTTTTTTCCCCAAGACAAGAGCCTCTGGAGGGAACAAAGTGTGTGGCGGGTTGTGCTCCGCAGGTGCCACCACTGGGAATGCTCGTGGCTGCAGGTGCACGGCGTGGGATGGCTGTTGGATAAAGTGGGACGTTGGTGCTGAACTTAAATTGTGTGGTGCAACTGCTTCTGTGTGGTTTATCCTTTAACCTGAAGGAGGTTAGCTGGCTTGATTTTTTAAATCTGAAATCTTTTGTGCCCAGATTTCTTATTTTAATGCTGGGTATATGGTTCAGCAGTTCAGTGCAATTGATTTGTTGATTCAGGATGTGTCTGTTTCATATAAACACACACAGACAGGGAGAGGATGTTTATGTGTGTGTGTGTACATATATTTATCTGTATATATATATATTCACATTTAAATATATTAATATGAAAGAACAGTGTTGTCGCTCCCAGCAGTGTTTGGTGCATGTTGAAGGTGCATTCATGCCATTGTGATTTACGTGAATCTGATCCTACAATAAGGAACTTGGAGGTAACATCCCTGTTCTTGCAGGACTTTGATGTGGAGAGCCTGGAAAGGCTGGAGTGTGGAGCATTGCCTGGACAGTCATCTCAATATAGAGGGTGTTTTGGTTGAGCTCAGTTTTAAGCCCTGTCTTTATCTTGCACTGCAGTGGGATTTGAGGTACAGGTAGAAATTAGGAGTTAATGTTCTATTCTATTGTCTCTCAAGGCACGGAGTAACCCTATAAATAACCCACTGAAATCACTGAGTGTCAGCTCAGACTCTCAAGAGTATTCTTAGGATATCAAGGTGGCCAACTTTAAAAAAAAATAAATCTTTATTTGTGCGTTATTTTTGAACTAGAGATGCTGAACTTGTATTATAAATCACATTTTATTATTCTGTTTCTGAACTCTGACAGATACTGAGAGCGTCTCCCAAGATCTGTGCTTTCCAAGTAGGCTATTTTCAAGAGCCACGTCAATACTGTATAACAACAAATCAAGCTGTTAATTTCAAAGTAAACCACTTTGCTGTAGAAAGGTCTTCAGTTTTGCAATGTTACATAATAGAACTCCCATCTAAACAATCTCCTAATCTTCCCCTGCCTTAGACTTTAAGCTACAAACAAGTTGATCAACCAGAGCCTGCATTTCTGCGCTACAAAGTAGGATAAACGACACCAGAGTAAGATCCTTTGAAAGAGTTTTTGTCATTTGTATCATTCCTTCCTTGGCTCAGACCAGAAGTTACACTGTTACTTTATTTATTTACCATAAACCATCAAAACCTGTCCTCGAAGACCATCACATTGTTCTTTTCACAGATAAGGGTCTTCTATAAGACTGGTATTTCTTAATTTCATCTTCTCTACACTTTGTTGTTTTGGTAACCATGTGTGAGGAGATTCTTGGTGAGATTTAAAATCTTTCCTCATAACCCTCGTGACTTAAGATTGGAGTGGTGTGTACACTCTGTATCTGTTGCAAAATTTCTTATTATTTCAAAACTGTTGATGTTCATAGTTGTGCTGGAACAAGTTTTTTGGGAAATCTGGTTGTGTGCTGTCATTATAATCTGCCCCCACACGTTTTCCCCTGTAACTTCATTTTAGGGGTGGAATAAATGGTACTTGATCCTATGGCATGAAAATATTTTATCGTCCTTCTGCTTTCCCTTTGGCTCTTTACCATTTAAAGCTGTTAAACATTTTTTTGCTCTTTTTGCTTCTTGTGTTTGTGCTAGATTCAGTTCTCTGTGCTTCTGGAGTTTAAATCTGACCAAGTGTTCTAAGAAGATAAAAGATAGATTTCAGTTGTCTGCAGAGCGTGTGGACAAGCGTATTTAGAGCCGCTCGTGCTGGAGCAATATTTGTAAAGAGCTGTGACAAACGCTCCAGGGACCACTCCGCTGCAGAATTCAATCTTGTTGGCTGGCAACAAATAGGCTCCACTGAAGGCTGTTTATTTGAATGGGAGTTGGATTGGGCCCTTTGGGAGAATGCTGTGTTTTCAAAATAGCTTCAGATGCAGCGGAATTCGGCGATGAATATAAATGAGGAACAATTAAATCAGAATCATAAAAAAAAAAAAAACCCGCTCAAGGTAACTCTCTGGTATTCTAATAGAGTGAGCAGGTTGACTGGTGTGTTATGGACCCTATCCCAGCCTTCCAAGCAAGGCTCAGTCCTGCCAGAACACATCCAAATTCCAAGTGTGTGGAAAATATATTAAAAAAAAAAAAAAAAGCAAGGGCAGGAAGATGGAATTAAACAATCTTCCTGTTGTAAAATCTGCTGAATGCTGCAGATATTAGAAATAGGGAACTGTGCAAGGTTGCTCCCTGCAGATGCCTTCAGTTCTTAGATTTGGATGCCTGTGAAGCCTCATTAACACTGAACAGAGAAAGTTGTGTTGTCGTTAAGAATTTATCAGCTGTGGTAGCTGATCCTCCATGCAACACAAAACACTACTGAAAACTTTTCAATTCATGACTTCAGAAGCTACTTCAATGCCAGACTCTTGTTTTTTTCTTAGTTTTGTATGAAGTTCTTGAAAATTTCTTGAAGGTTTGGACTGTTTCCCTGTTTGGCTTTTCCTGGTTGGCAGTTTTGCTGTAATTTGCGAGGTTTTACATTTTGAGGCAGGAAATACACGAGCCTACAGACTTTCACAAACAGCTTTTTCTGTAAGCACCTCAACCAAATGACAGGAAAGCCCTCCTCAAACTCTAGACAAAACTGAAATGCCAAAGTGGAGCAGATGTTTGGCCCACTCCTCCCCGGCAGTTCCATTAAACACATGGTTATTGAATCCTATTTTAAGATGAAAGAAGGAAATGAAAACATAAATATAACCTCAGACTGTGATTTTTTTTATTTTTTTTTTTAAAAAATTCATATTTTGTCAATTTTTTAGTGAGTTTTATGCTGGTGCAACTTCTACCTTGGGAGCAGTTTGGCTCTGGCACAGATATTCACAGCTTTGTCTTGAAGTAGAAAAGCTGCAATTTGCTGCATTGATTTACCTTCCTTTGTACCTCATGGGGGTACAATCAGGGGATAGGGCTAATTAGATGAGAAGAGAGAGCCTTCATGAATATGACATTAGGTGGAGAATTAGCAGGGACACCTGTGGTCCTAAACCTGGCTGTGGATGAGTAAACCCTTCCTCCTGACCCTCCATCTGAACGTCCAAACACTTTATCCAAAGAGACTCCTTACCTTGCTTGAGTATATTTAGGATTGGCTAAAGTTTTTGATATAAAAGCAAGTGGTTTTCTATTTTTTATTGATCTGCCTCCTGAGGAACTAGATGAAGTGTCAGTAGACAAGCTGTGTTTTCTTTACAGGTATCTGAGTGACTGTTTCCTCCTGTTTTTCTCTGGAATAGTGTCAGTGTATGTAGCAACTTTTAGTTTTTTATCCTTTTTTTGGAAAAAATAAAAGGCCTTTCATTTGGTCTTTCTGGCTGTTCACTGCCAAGAGGGATGCTACGAAGAATGTTTGAAGATACTGAGATTCTTCTGAGGATACAGAAAAGTGAGATGAGGGTTTAGAAACACTTGGGGTTTATTTGTTTCTTAGAAGGAGATAATTTCTCTGCTGTATTATCATCTCTCTTGCCTGGAAGGTTCATTTTCAGCAAAAATTGGAAATGTACTCATTTAATGCTTAGGGATGAGATTCTCCCCCTCCCTGTTTTGGGGACTCGCTCCCAGGTAACAGTTCCAGGATGATTTTTATTGATAAATTTTTATTGTTGCTGTTGACAACACCTGTAGTGAGTAACTCTGCTCATTATTGCCTCGGCCAGTCCAATTTTTCTGTGCATGTTTGAGACCATCATCTGCAGCTTTGAGCATGTACCCTAAGGATTTTCTCTAGAAAATTTCCTCCTTCAATACTCTCTGCTGAGAAAAGCAGTTTCCAGCCATCTGTGACTCAGCTCATGCTCACCTCTTCCACAGCATTTTAATAAACACAGGACAGAAATCTTGGTACCTGTGCAACTGCTTATGACAGTAACTTTGGAACTGGTAATTAAAGATTGATCCATAATTAATAGCTGGCTATTGATCTCATTTTAACTAGATAACGCAGCAGGAGTGGGCATGAAACGAAGTTAAGAGTGGCTATTGTGAAAAATTCCTTAATAGTGGAGCTGTGCTGTGCTCTTGAAGTCTCTGTTGCATGATTGATACTTAAAACACATTCTGAACTGAGCTGAAGCCCTCCTTTAATATGGTAATGAAAATGAAAACCCAAGACTGGTGTTTAGTTTGTTTGTGATGTTATGCTGATGGTGTT